TCCACTTTGACAGGCACTTCAGACCTTGCAGCTACAGCTAAGGGCAGTCATGTTGACAATGGAGGGAGAGAAGATTATCCACTCTGACTCCATGTCCCCAGTCTCCCCAAAATCAGAGAGAAACTCTCCTTGAGGTGAGTTTGTCTCTGAATAAACACCTATGCTTGAACATGGTGTTTATTATGGGCAATCCATGACTTGCATATATCTCCAATCTTAAAACATCACTTAGGTTCAGAGATGGGGGTGTGTTCCTTCCGATCAGACGCCCCCAGGTGTTACTCTTATTTACCGCATGGGTGTTGAGTTCCCCCAGCAGAATGATGCAATCCCCAGCAGAGGTGCTATCCAACACCCCTCTAGGAATGCTAAGAAGCTCTGATACCCCTTACTGCCACTCGGCCGAAATAGAGACACCCCTCACTACCCGACGGCAACGAGACGTGATCCTCTCTTCCACTGGAGATAACTCCAAAACCAAACAGCTAAGCTGTGGGGACAAAAGCTCAGGCTCCTTCCGCCTAGTAAGGTGAAATTCCAAGCCCTCAGAGTCAATTTAAGCGATCAGGTTGTTGAGGCCTCTGCCTCTAGCTGCTGCACAATCTTCTTAGCACTGCTCTCTGATCGTTCCCCCTGCAGGTCGGGACCCACTATTTGATGGCCGCGTGTTACTCCTTCGGACTTGGCCTGCCCAAGAAATGAGTTTGTCATCATAAGGGCTTTTTGAACTGATATTTGTCTGATCCTCCATCCAGAGCCTGTTTGCCTTGGGAGACCCTGCAAGGGGCATTCAAGCCCGTGGGATCATCTGGGCAAACCCCTGCACCATGTTGAGGCGGTGGTTCAACAATTTTCAGACTAAACGTTTTAAATTCAAAACGAATTCTATTTAGCCTCTAACTTGTATTACTTTCTCCATATTCAAAGTTTATAAACACAATAACGCTACTTTTAAAGAATTCTGTGAAAGCTTAGATGAGGATGGCTTTGTAAGCTCCCAGCATATGAGTTAAATGAATACACACTTGTTGATGTGTTTAAAAAAGGAGTAATTGAAACCCAGTGGTACCTTGTCATATAACAGTGAAAAGTTTGTGGACCTTTACTTACTACTAAACTATCTCTCGGTGTAGTTGTCACACACCTGCCACCTTTATGTATTCAAACAATGATATACAAGTATAACACAAAATAAATGAGCAACCATGTATCATTTATTAAAATGACGGGGTTTATGTCCAAGAAGTGAACAGAAAGCTAGTTTTCAGATGCACAAAAAGAAAAAGACTTGTCCTTTGGTCAGATGAAACTAAGATGTATGACTTAATGACCACCGTGACATTTGGAGAAAAGAGAAAGTGGCTTGGAGATCTTAATAACTTCATCCTAACTGTGAAGTACAAAGGTATCAGCATCACTATGTGGGTGATTTGCAGTAGGAGGGACTTTTGCACTTTACAAAATAGATAATAGGGAAAGGACATTATCTGGAAACATTAGAGCCAGATAGTTAGCAACAAATGGGTTTTCCAAATGGACAATGATGCTAACCATACTGCCAAATTAGTTTTAAATAATCAACATTTTTGAATCACATAGAAAATATGTAGGCAAAGCTTGAAGTTAGTCTTCCTGCAAATCTGACTCAATCACACCTGTCTGTTCAAAGGAATGGCACCAAAATATCCCCTAAACTACTCTGAAAACATATTTAAACCTAAGTTCATTCAAATATTTTATAATATTCCAAGAATAACCGATTAAATTTGGACCTATGAAGAACAGAAAAGATTTTAAAAAATCTATAAACATATGTTATCTCTCATCACTCCTGTATTTATGCTTTAGGTAAATTAAGATAATCTTGGGAGTCCTACATTACAAAAAACAGGAAGATGGTGTTATTTTTTTGGGATTATTTTCTCAGACCAAAAAAAAAAAACAAATCCTTTTTTTTGGCCTTTAAGATGCTGTATTTAAGCATTAGGCTCCAATTTCTGTAAATTAAAAATGGTGTCACCAGTCATCTTTGCAAAAATTATATGCAGTGATTTTACATACTCTGTAATTGTAATGAGCACCAAATGGACCAAATTTAAAAAAAAAAATTTGAATATTATATATGGTCTACAAAATGCAGCAATGCACCTGAGTATATCAGCTGCATTGCAACAAAACATTGTCTAAACCCTTTAAGACTTTTCAGCCTTTTCATTTCAAACAACAAAGTTAAAGAGAACACAGCAAGAGGTTCTGAATAATAGAGTATAAGATGGAAACAAAGGAGCTACACTAGCACTATGATCTGTCTTCTTTATTTTGAATTACTCTCTGTAAACCTCTGTTGTGGACTTCATTAGTCTTTTCAGACTCCTTACAATTCCTGGGATTAATTATTCAGAGCTGCCTATGGGTAAGGACAAAGGGCTTATAACAATATAATAGTACAGTGCTTGTTACATATACATGGCCAATAAATCTCCTTAATGAATGTTTCAATCTGATTATTTTAGCAGAGTGTTGCAACAAGTTGTGCTACATGGTCACTCGGACAAAGGGAAGGATTCTCAAAAGTTGACCAATGTGGTTCATTAACATAAACAAGAGAGCTGTTCTATCCTCCATCTATGAGATGTACAGGTCTAGAGGCAGAAAAAAAACATCTTTGCTGACTCCACGCAATCTGACCATACACTGTTTAGACTATTACTTTCAGGCTGGCTGTATAGAGCACTAACTTGTAAAGCAAGTTGATACAGAGACCATTTCTCTTCTCAGGCTATGAATTTGATAAACTCACAGCTCAAAGCCAGGGTAGTCAGCTGCTTTGCTGGAAACAAATATTTTGTTTTACTATTGCAACCTCCCTTTTGTATTGTTATAAGAAAAAAGGCGCACACACACACACGCTACCACACACAAAACCCCATTTCCCTATCCTTGTGGGGAACCTCCATTGACTTCCATTCATTTCTAACCTATTTCTACAACCTTACTGTGACCCTTACCATTAAACCATTACAGGTTCATACCTGGCCCTAACCCCAGCCTTAACTCACTTCACACCATAATCCTGAATTTAACCCCTGTCCCTAAAAGAGTAACTCACCTAGGGGTTTCAGGCATAGGCCCCCACAAGGAGCAGTCGGTCATGACAACGTACTATAGTCTTATTTCATCCCTCTAAAGTATTTTAAACGCATTATTCGTTGTTGTTTTTTTTGTAATTCAGGTTGATGTTAATAGACGTGAACAACAAAAAAAGCTAAATTCCTTGCTTGTGCACACAAGGGTGACCAATAAAGTAGTTAAAATAAGATATTAGAATTACATCTCTTTAACAAAATATTATCTGCAGTTATCACTGTCGTTATTTGTTCTCTCTTTTAATGTTTCAAAGAAAATAATATTTACCAGGTTATGTTTAACTGCAAATACATCCAACAGAGCTGAGCTATTGCTGCTGACTGTTACCTTCATATTTTCCCTCTACAGTTATGTGCTTTACCCTTTGTTTCGGTGTTTGGTTACTGTCTAGAAATTACAGTTACTTGGCTGAATGAGCAATTTCTTACAGTGTTATGTGCTCGGATTTTTCTTGCTATAGACTTTATTAATGGTTTGGAGCTGTTATCCATGTTTCTCTCTTTAGGATAAAACATAGTCCTACTGCTCCTGTGAGTATGTGTTTTATATGTTTTTTTTTTTTTTTTTTTATTGAGCCAGGTTAACAATTGAATGCATAGTGTTGGTTTGGACTTGTTTGGGAGAAGGGATTACATCCAGGTTAGTGCCTCAATGACTTTGACCGCCTTTGCATAAATATAATATGCATAATTTATCCATCTTGAAAAATTAAGTTAACTAAACTGTTGAGCAACTAGAATTTCATTGTAATTGACTTCATAGCTTTCTAAATGGTTGGCCAGAATTGACTCCTATTATTATGCCATAATAAAAACTGTAAGCCAAAATTTAAAAAGGTATATGCTTAACTGTCTAAAACAGGTCCAAAATATTTTGTATATTTATGGAAATAAAAATCTTTTAATTTGAATTCTAATATGTCGAGATTGCCATGTACATAGGGATAAGAAATGCCTGTGTCTATATAGGCTTAGTCATCAAAGCAGAGGGAAGAAGTTTTTTTTTTTTAGAATAGCTGAATCAAATTTCGTGGACCTGTTGTTTTCTGAGATTCAAGAAAGACATATGGATATATGTCCTAAATGGCATATGGAACCCATGCCCTTTAGGACAGGTTTAACAACCAATAACAGAGAAAGCCAAAATTATTTCTGCTTACAACAAAGGTAATTATAGAGGGTTTTCTAAAAAAGGAAAGCTAAGATAAAGATGTCATATTTTACCTACCAAACCTCAGTTCAACTTCTACTCTTCCTGGAAAAAATAAACTTGTATAAAATTGTATACTGATCTTACTACAGCAAGGAGCTTGAAAGATATACCACCTCAATTAAAGGCCTAAACAAATCTGAAGGCACCTGGGTCCTTGAAAAACCAAATATGAATTTTTGTATGAAATAAATATTTTATTTTTAAACTATCTAACAATGCTCCCTTTATGTATGTTAACTATAACACTAATTATAGAACATAAAATTCAGCATATTTGATTTTGTGAGGTTTTTTACTTTTCTTCCTTATAATGTAAACATTCAGCAAATTACTAATAATTGAACAAAGTATTTAATAACGATAATAAAAAAACAAACAAACAACATAAAACTACAAATTAAGCATTAGTCCAGCTGACGCTATGAACACAGTTTTAAAAAGCAGATTCGACATAGTATGGAAATTTAACATACAAAACAACATAATATAATTCGAAATCAACATCATTGGCGAAAAGGGCAATGAAAAATAGTAATAATAATTTTTCAACTGTTACTTTTAATCGGAGAATAAACAAATATTTTGTGGGAAGTTTTAACCGAAAGTGCTGACGAATTTAGTGACGCTTCAAAACTCAATTTCCAATATGGCGACACGCTGAGTAGAATTTGTGCAAAGCGTTGCTAGTTGCTAAATCATTTCGGCTATATTGAAGCTATTTTGTTTGCTTGGTGTTATTACTGTAAGACAGTTGTTCAGGTATACATATTTTCTTAAATAACTTCAAGATGTATCGTCGCGGAGCCGCAAAGAAGGACCCTAACAACAAACCTGTGAAGAAGGACGTGAGCGACAGCGATAAATACGCCGATATCTTGGTTTTCGGTTATGCCTGCAAACTGTTCCGAGACGACGAAAAGGCTCTTTACCACGAACATGGAAAACACCTAATCCCATGGATGGGAGACAAGAGCATCATGATTGATAGGTCGGTTGAAAAAACGTAGACTGAAACATTATGCTAACTGTTTCTGCTATTCGTTAGCCTGTTTCGAATTTCAAGGGACTACTCCAGAGTTTATGTTGCAGAAGCTCGGCAAGACCAGAAATAAACTCCGAATACTTAACTTCCTCCTGCTAACTTGCTTTCAGATGTGTTAAACTAAAAAATGATATATAAAGTTGATATAGTAACATGCTAACATGCAAATGACTGCGGTTATTGCTAACGTTAGCCACAACAGTCTGGGACCATCGCTCATTTCTATATGTCAAATATGGATGGGGAACTTTTAGCTGTTATTTTTGTTTGCTAGTTTAAGCTACAATCAACATTAGTTATGAATGAATACTTAGTATGCAATTTCATTATTTTTTTTTAATTAGCTTATGTATTTTGGATTTTTGCTTTCTGGATTTAAGACAACACATGTCATGTTATTGATATCTCTGGTTAGAATAGAGATGCACCTTTCAGAGATTTTGTGGCTGTTAGCTAGTCGTCAATTTTTGTTTTCTATTAACAATCTTAATAATAACAAATTGCGTTTCCCTACTCTCTAGCTAAGTTGAAAAACTGATCTATCTATCTATCTATCTATCTATCTATCTATCTATCTATCTATCTATCTATCTATCTATCTGTCTATCTGTCTGTCTGTCTGTCTGTCTGTATAATAATGATTTTAACACACCCTAATATAACAAAACTTTGTCTTTTCCAATTTGAGAGAAATTTCGAGTGTACCATTTACTTTTTTGTTGAAGTGTAGAAGAAATAATATCACAGGATGTCATTTTTCGTAAAAAGAAAAATCAGCTAAAAATGTGTATTTTTTCTAATTCAATATTTTCGCTGTAGAAGTTCAAATTACCCAACAGCTTTGATGTAATAAAGTCATCAGCTTTTTATATGCTCATTTTGGAAGCATTAAAATTTATAATAGATTATACAATTTTTTTTCTCTTTCTTTTATTTTAATTCCCTCACAGACACCCAAAATGGCTAACTCAGAATTTTAAGTATATTTTTAATATCTAAGTGGCTGATTGGTGAAAAGATCAGGTCCAGCGTGTATTTTTTTTTTACAATCCCTGTTGCCAGAAGATCTGTTGGTGCATCTCTATCTCGAAAAATTTAAACTATTCCGTTCAGCTTTGCATATTGGCACGTTATTGGCATGTTATCAGATTGCTAAATAAATATATTAACTCTGTCAAACTGTTTCTCTCCTTTTCAAACTGTCTTTGATTTTAAATGATCAGTTTAAAATTTCTCTCTTTTTTGATTTGTTGATGGTCATCATCCCAGGGAAAATTCTAACCCTGACTACAGTCCCTGTGGCTAAGCTGATTCAAAAAATCCTGGTTTTAAAGAAGCACAAAAAAACATTGCTTTTTTTGTGTGAATATATTGCTATCAAAATGTATTTGTTTGAAACATCTTGGTCCACAGTGGTCAAGCCTATACTTCATTTGTACAAAATTTGTATGTGTGTCTTTATCACATAACCCAGTTTTTCCACAGCAAGTTAGGCTTCGGGGTCCTTTCAAACCCTGAATGTCAACAACAGCACCCCATTTCTCTGTCTTCATGAAGAAACTACAGCAGAGAGATGCCCTAGAGGGACAAACCCTGGAATATATCGTCCATTTGGGTTCTTGCGGATAGGTATTTATGTGCTCGGGTTTGTGTGAATGTAACTTTCTTTGCAGATTTAGAAGTAATGATGAGTGTTACAGGGGGGAATTGAACCCTGTAAGGTAAGAGGCGAGTTGCTTTGTTTGTCTTCTTTCTCTTATTTGTTCTTCTTTAATTTTCCATTTAGGTTTGCTTGTAAAACAAAAAAAGAAATGTAAGCATTGTTATAATACTAGGTATTTTATGACAAAAGAATTAATCTAGTTGTTTTTTTTTTAACCACCATCACATTATCTTGGTAAGTAGGTCTAGGCTTTTGTAATAAATGTTCATTTATGTTTGGACTTCTTTTCTCTAATTCTGTTTCTCATCCAACAGATACGATGGGCGGGGTCACTTACATGACCTTTCAGACTATGACAGCGGGTCATGGAATACATCCTACCAGCTGTCAGAGGAAGAGGCGAGGATTGAGGCGCTGTGTGATGAAGAGCGGTACCTGGCTCTACACACCGACCTGCTGGAAGAAGAGGCAAGACAAGGTAACAAGATGAATTTCATGGCATATTTCAATCATTTTATATATGCATATTGAAAAAAAAAATGTATGTCTTATTGGTAATTATTTTAAATGTTTTATCCTCTTTAATAAGCACTAATATGACACTAATATCTAATTTTTCTTATTTACAATAGTATTTCATTTTTTGTCATGGCTCAGTGTTTAAAAAGCTCTTTTGTTAATGTAAAATTTGTACAGGTAAAGCACACATAATGATATATAAAAGCTGTTTCATGAATCTAAAGAAAATAAGCAAAATAAAGCTAAGGACTTTACACAATAGCACTGAACAACAGTAGACAGGGTCTGCCTTATTGGTGTTATAATTAGCATATTTCACAAAGGAGGCACATTTTATGGTCTTCCTTGTTAAACCATTGTGCTGTGCTTGGATTTCTCCCCCATAGTTATTGGAAAGCTATAACCCATGTTCAGCAGATCACATTTCAAAGACGGACAATAAGCTGAAGGGTCTAATACATTCTCTCTTTTATTGCACAAATCACTGTAAAGGTTTAAAAACCCTCAGATTCTCCATGAAAACAGATCTGTTAGGTCACAATTGCAAGTAGGAATGGAGATTAAATTAAAAGTTTTACATTTGTTTCTGTTTTATGTTTCTGTTCCACCTGCCATACAGAAAAATTAAATACAATGCTTAAAGCATGTTTCTTATTTAGGGGGAACAGGGAACGTGTTTTTGGAAGTGACAAGATCAAAGTTTGTCCTCTATTGATCAAGTCACTCTAACGTCAACACAACACCACCGCAATGACGGATGGGACATTTTTCAGATTGAAAGAGGAAACGAATGACAGAAATTTATGAGTTAGAAGACGTGTTATTCATATTTTCATCTTTCTCTCAGCCATAATGTCACACTTGCCATATTTTACTGTAAATAATTTTGCACCCTAAAAAAGGGAGAATTTACAATCTGCAAACAAAAGGGGAAAGTCATGTCTGCTTTTCATACTTGACAAGCACGACTCGCATTGATTGTAAAGCGCGTTCTGATAGAAATCACTCCAAAAATACAATGGCTATTTAGATCCCTTTAGGCTCCAAATGGGGCCCAACAAGTTTTGTTGTACTTGGCCCCTCCCTCAACAGAACTACCATAGACTTAAATTGATTGTAAATCTTGTTTAGTCCAGAATCAAACCAAAGTACAAAGGTTTGTTGAATCATGTGTGGTTATTCTAAGGGAGGAATATATGATTGAGGCACACTGCAGAACAGAAAGACCACAGGTAAAGAAGTGCTACACTAGCCTTTCATCCATGCATGATATTCAGAAAAAAAATAACCTGCAAAATGATTTAATAATCTGGTAAGGGATCAGCAGTGAAAAATGTTGGGTTCCACCTATTGCTCTTAATGTTGGACCGCTCTACTGAGGCATAAATATTTCAAGTTCCACCAGACACTGGATGCTCACATGGAATGTCTCCTTAAAGCTGCAGGATGTATCTTACAAAAAAATAAGTTTTAATTTATGTATTAAAATGTTTCCTGTGTCCTTACATGATGCAGATAATATGTGGAAAATATCAAGCTCCTTTGCTTCTTCCTTGTGTCATGGAAAAAGGGATTCAAGCCAGGAGGAAGGTTTTAGCACCTCACTCACTCTTTGACATGGTGTAGATACCAGAACAGCAGAGTTAGCAAATCCATAAAACAATCACCCAGGTTTTCAGACAGATTTGATTTAGTAACTTATGGTTTTTTATTTAAATGCAACCTGCATTTGATATTGATCTGTTGCACTAAATCTCTCAGTGGGAATTTCACATATCCTGCTGTAGTGTGCAAGTTTTTTAATTTTTTATTTTTTTTATTTTGTTTTATTGAGTTGATTTTGTGATTCAACATTGGCAGATTGCTGCCATTTGTAACATTTATACCTAAATCAAAAAATATATCCGTGAAATCGTCTGTGATCAGTATTGGCCTTTTCCATCCCTCTTGGTGATCATTGGTAAAAATCCTGACCTAGTTAGGAAAGGACAGGGTAATGTCAAACAAGGTTATTTAAAATAAATCCTAGATTTTTGCATTTATTGTAATTATACTTCTTTAATAGTACAGGTAGCTAATTTTTTCATAGAAGATAAAATATTGGTGCATAAATTGGTTCTAGCAGACTGATTGTTTTTTCTCAGTAAAGAGGTACAGTAGTGTTGGAATTAAAAAAGCATTTCCTTTCCTGTTGTACCATAATGACTTTTCATTTTAAAATCTGTATTTATAGTACGATACAAGAATAACCACCATGGATTCATCTTTTTTCATCTTCATTAAAATACATTTATTTCTTTCTATCTCTATTTCTCTGGAATTTGAAGGCTCATGCCATCTTCTCTCACTGCACAATATAAATAAATAACTTCTATCAATAGTATGCTTTACTGACTGCATATCAGGCTGAATATATCAGCCTATTAGTTTCAGCAACCCTTTTCTAGGCATGTTCATTCTGCTGTTTATAAAATTGCACCAGCTCTGCCCGCACCTTAATAGCTAATGTCTAAATCAGTTTTGACTTTAGGATGTCTAGGACACTCGCATCTTAGATGCTGTACATCATACTTACACAGGTTCTTTGGGTGACAAAGTACTTTTGTGAATGGCTGACTTAATGGCTGCCATTGAATTAATATATGGGTGTTTTAGGTGAAAAATGGTGTCCTGTGCCCAAACTGACAGCAAGAAACGTGTCAGCTAATGGTTTGAGTTACACACACGCCTTGTAGAAGGTTCATCCTGCAGAATGTTCTGCCCTTGAGTTTGGAGCCTTGACCCCATTCTATTACCCAGCTGACCACTGAAAGGACCGCGGGACACTAATAGATAGATTGCCATTAATTTTAATAGAAGAACTTTTTTTTCTGAAGTTTCAAAGAGCCTCATCTATAAATTTATATTAAAACATAGCATAGAATATAGATAGCCTTTTCTTCCTACAGTGGGGAAATCCATGTCCTTACAGGAAAGTGAAACACAGACGCATATACAAGATGTTAATACACTTGTTATTGCTGTTAGTTTTATTCTAAACTACCATATGATGGTACAATAGCAAAATAAGTTTTTTTTTTTTTTTTTAATACAGAGTTATGGAAAGGAATATCAGACCGTGTTCTAAAGCTTCAGTGAAATACAGTGGGGAAAAACAATACAAAGGTGGTCTAATCGTTGCTATTTTTAAAAAAACTTTTTCAAAAGACTTTTTCTTGGCCATATGTATCAGGGTTTGCCAGGTCATTAAAATCATTAGAATTCATTAAACTATTATTTTTTAAATTAAGTCCTTAATTGGCATTGTGATTATCCTGACATTTAAAGAAAGAAAAAAAAAACTTTTATAAAAACTATTTGGTCAGATATATCAGATTTAACCGGTTTCCGCATGTTTGCGCGGAACTGCTTCCTGTTGATCGAAAAGCTGTATATTCGGAAAAAAGAAGCTCAGACAGAGGAAAAGCTAGTGAATGGGAAAATGCAACTAAAGTGGCTGGAAAACAAGGAACTCGGGACATTGCTGCTGATTTTGCCATGTTTTATATATATGAGAGTCATGGGTATTTGTTGATGGCATTAAAATTTTTTCTAAGAGCATTAAATTAGAGTTACTCATTCCTGTATAAACCCTGTGTACATATCATAGCAATTAGAATATCCCTCTTGAAGAAAGAATTTTAACATAATTAAACACTATAAAGAACAGGAATATCTAAAGGATGACCAAGGAGCTGTTTTTATTCTGGCCTTAAAAAAAACAAACCCAGAAAAAAACCAACAGTTTTGTTTGTGTTGGTAACGCAATCTAACCCACCAGCAGGTTGCACTCTGCAAGACTAAACTAAATGGCTACAGCTGCAGGGTACAATTTTTGCACTGAGATGTGAAGTAAATCAATATTTGCTTGCAGCTTGCTGGGCTGGTCAGGCTTCGGCTGCTAACATAGTATATTGTCAGCTTTATTTTCACACAGACTGGATATTTTCTCGTGTCTCCTTTGTGCTTGTCTAAAATATTTCTTTGCAATGAATAGCCTTCTTGGCCTTTAAGCATTACAATCAGATCCGGTTTTTATTTTTCTATGACATAACAAATTGAATCGGGGAAAAAAAAGTGGTCAAACAGCTACAAAATATTTGTTTCAGCTAAAAAGAAAATGTTAAAAGTACTTTCCTTGTATTTTTTGATGTCACAAATAAGGTAGAGTATGCTTTGTTTGTGTAGCTTTTACCCTGTTAGTTCAGACCTATGTCTTTAATGGCGTCATTGCGCAACAGTTGATTTAGCAAATCTTCCATGTTTTTGCTTTATTTTATTATTCTTTTTTAGACAAGCCTGTCGGAAAATCCTCCTGTCATCCTGTCTTTTAAAAAAGAAAATATTAAATTGTTGATTTCTTCCTGTTCATCTTGCTGAAATTTAACACATCAAAACAAGGTGGAAAAGGTCAAAAATGATTTCAAAATATTTGTTCATATGCTTCGATAAAAACCCTGCAGCTATTTGTCTTATTTTTATTTTTTTAATTGAATATTTCCTCTGCCTTATATCAAACTGCGGAAAAAAGTCAAGGCCTTCCATTAAGGAAAAATTGAAGAGGAAGCATCTGAAAATGTCTTGTTTTTTTTTTTTTATTAATTAACAAAGCAAAGGTATAGAGTCGCCACATTTAACCTGTCTTAAACAGGCAGCTGCTTGTCCTTGGGTTACTGTGAATGTGTTCCAACATCTGAATTAAGTTTGATTTATGTCATAAATGTTCAGGAAAAACAAAAGCCTTTGTAAATAATAAAAAAACAGCTTATTTCTCTGTACGTATGCCCTTCTTTTTCACAGAGGAAGAATACAAACGTTTAAGTGAGGCTCTGGCTGACGAAGGCACTTACAACGCAGTGGCTTTCAAATACAGCGCTGACTACTATGATCCCTCACAGCCCACAGAGGAAGAGGACGCCAAAAGAGAACATGGTGAGAACTTGTCACAAGTCTAATATTATGAGGAGAGAGACGCTCCGCTCTGGTTTCTACCTGGGGTTACAGAGTACTTTCAGATCGAGGTGATGTCCAAAGGCTGCTGGTCCTTTGATGTCATTGTTTTAGGTCCAACAGAATTGACTACAAGATACTTATTTATGCATTATTGCATACGGCCTTAAGGGCTGTAGCAAACAATTATTTTAATCATTTATTATTATATCGATTATTCTGATGGTTACTCCCGTAATCAGATAAAAAAGAAGTTTCATTCTGCAGATAGTTCACATGATTACTAAAGTCTTTTTTTCTGAGCAGCAAAAATGGATGAAAAAATGAAAAGAATTACATTTCTCTTTTGATTAAAAAAACAAAAAGGATTATTCTGCAGTTAAAAAAAAAGAAATTCCACCGTTAGTATATTAAAAGCTTGGCCCTTTCAGGTTGACTTTCAAGGGTCCACAATTGTTTGTAGCGATAGACCGAAGTTTTTTTTTTCAGACGAAATACAAAAGAGTAAAATTGCTTGTTTAAATAAAATATAGTGTCTCAAACGTCATCATGTTGGTTATGTTGCAATGCTTTCTGGGTAACTGACATATGCTAGGTCCTGTAGTGTTAGCTCCATCCTACCAATAAAGTAGTGAGTAATGTTAAACCTTTTCAGTTTAAATCACAGTGCGATGAAATTGATAAGTGTAGAAATCACAGGAGGTAAAGAAGTTTTGGAGGACCAAATGGAGAATGAGGGGAGAGTCTGTCAAAGAATCTGGTGTTTGTGCAGCTGCTCCTAGGAGATGCCAACCCTGGTGGAGAGTTATGATACAAAGAGCTCCGGTTTCTTAACTAAAGTGTGAACTTTTGATTTCGATCATCGGGATTAAAACATTTTACCAGATTTATAAGAATGATGTGTTTCTACTGATAGATGAGTCTCTGTTACTTAAACAGTTGTTCTTCTTCTTCTGATTAGATTGTGATTCCATGTAAGCTTCTACTAATGATGTTAGCTCTTGCTAATATAGTAAACAGTAGATGACAAGCCACGTACATTTGTCTATTTTAACAGTTATCTCATGTGTAGTGGCTCATGAAAACCTTGAGGCAGTGAAACAGTGTTTCAAAGTCAAAATGTACAACAGTTAAATGCAGTATGATTTTAAAAAACAGTTCTGGTAATGTTAGCCTCCCTGTTTTTACTCTGTAGGTTCTGGTCCAGTGAGACCTAACCGCTTCATCAAGCCAGCATGCATTGTGCAGTAGGTCAGCATGGAGCAGAACTGAGAGCTAAACTGTTGCAACCGAAGCTCAGTCTATGCTAGCCGACTCACTGATACACTTTGGCTACGTTTACACTGCAGCCTGAAGTGACCCAAATCCGATTTTTGTGGCCCATATGCGACCTGTATCTGATCTTTCATGGCTGTCTGATCAACTCAGATCCGATTTTTTTCCAATGAGACCCAGGCCACTTGGCTCTGTGGTCCTGAATCCGATACGAATCTGAGCTTTTCAAATGCAACATGTGTCTGGACGGCCAGGTCGCATTCATCCGACCTGAACGTCAATAATATCTGACATAGGTCACTATTCTGGTTCTTGCTATGAAGAAGTGGCAAGAAAAACAACAACTGTGACAACGATGTGGAGAGCAGTATTTATGTTTTTTAACCATCTTAAAACGATTGTGTTTTTATGGTTGGGAAAGATAGATGCGCTCGGGCACTACCATCCATGTTTACTTCCGTAAACACAGAGTATGCTGGCCTCTGACGTCATTGCGTCCTCTACTGCGCATGCGGGACATTTGGATATTAGGAAATGTGAACGGCAACGCAAAGAAATCGGATTTCACAAAAGAATTGGAATTCAGCATCAAGGCCTTCAGTGTGAAAGTAGCCTTTCTTTTCACTAAATGTGATCATGAACTTACACTTTTAAATCTTTGTTTCTCTGCACTTCTTTTGCTCATTGCTGTCTTCCTCCATTGCTGATAACCGCACTTGATATCCATGTATCAGTAGGGTAGGCTATCATTAGAGGTAGCCACCGTGCCGAAACATGAAAAGGATAAATATAAGATAAACACGATTAAATGAAGCGTCAAGGCAAATGATTTGTCTCAAAATATGTTATTAGGTCTTTGAATAATTCGTTGAATCTTTACAGCCCTAATGGCTTTCATATTTATCTGGATTTACTGTGCAAACTGTGAAAAAACAACAAAAAACATTGTTTGTTGAAGAAATCAGGTAATGATAGCACAAATACTAATTTGCTAAATCAATCACTTTCTTTATGTTCTTTTTCTGGGTTTCCAAACTTAACTCTTTATTTCTTTTTTTACACATTCGATCTACTTTCTCTAGTAGTTCCAAGAAGAACAACCAGAAAAAGGCCCATGGGATGTTCAGTTCCTGGAATGAATTCACAATATATACAGGACATACTGTGATATTATATAATTATTGATGAGTCATGGGAAGACCATTTTCCAGGCTCCCTATAATGCTTCATTTAGGAGCAGGATAGAGTAAGTCATTTTGCTGTAATAGTCAAGTATGTTTAATGGTAGTAATAAAGAGACCAGGAGCAGGGAAGCTTTTTAAAGCCAGTGTTTAATAATGGCTTTCTCAGTTGCTGCCAGCATAACCTTTAAAAGGTATTCATCATCTTTGCTTAAATCTTAAGAGATATGCAGATTCTATGGGATATATAAGCATATTGGCATATTTAACTAAATCTTCAAATTTTTAAAATTACTGAGGCAACATCCTTTCTGAAGTACTCTGTTTTAGGGGAAAGCCCAGTAAATGTGATCAATTGTTTCTGTTCCCTGGTGAAAAAGTGACAAAAGGCTTTTCAGGTTTAAAATTACCTTCTGTGCTTTCCCATTAATTTATAGTTGGTGATGCTTGGTAGCCTGATTTGAATTTTGCCTGAAAAGCATAAATGGATGACTTTGTATTCAGCAAACATTGCGCTGCAACCTGATTTTAGGAGATGACTTCCCTCTACTCCAGCCGGCTTTAGGTCCCCGACCACAATCTGATTTATTACCCTACTTATCTCTGTATAAAATATTCAAGGCCTGGTGCGATAACTTTGAATGAACTTTTCAAGGTGTCTGAATATTTCTACAAACCTAAAGCTAAATTGTTTTACATGATCAAGCTTATTTGATATTAAACAGAAAATTAAAAGGAAATAAAAAGAACATAATCATAGGTGTATATTAAGAAATTAGAAATTTGTTAAAGTTGATCATTCTTTTTTTCCCCTTTTCAGAAAATGGAACTTGTATATTGAAAAAATTTATTGAAGATAAAGTAAAATATTTCAGGCCTTTATTTCTTGTGATTTTTAACTTATGACTAAGAAATAATTAAAACCTCTAAGTAGTATTTTATTTAGTATTTAGATATATATATATAAAAAAATTGAATCTTTTGAGTGGTGTTAAAGCATAATATGCTAATTAATGTTAAACACCTGCAAATGCTTGATAAGCCTGTAAATGGTCTGTTTGAATGAGTAAACCACACAATCATGGTGGATACTGTTCATTTGACAGATGTCCATAAGTTTCATTAACTCGAGGGTAAACAGGGTAAGAGTGCTTTTTCCAAGCACATTCACAGAATGTTTTCTCAGAATAAAAAAGTGTTTTAAAAAAAGTGCAGAGATGACCACAACCTTACGACTCAGTAAACTCAGACTGGACTAGTTGCACCTAGAGCAGTGTTTTTCAACCCTGGTCCTCAAGGCACCCTGCTTTGCATGTTTTGGATGTTTCCGAGGTTCAGCACACCTGATTCAAATGATTTCAGTTCAAAGTCTGATAATCTGCTATCAGATTTAAAAGCACTGTTTTAAAGCTGGGGAACCTCTAAAATATGCAGGGCAGTGTGCCTTGAGGACCAGGATTGAAAAAACACTGATCTAGAGTCACAATTTTCAGATGAACACTGCTCATTGGCTTTAAGTGTTGGGTCTCACCAAAGAAGGAAAGATAACACTGGGCTGTCCCTCAATAGTCCAAAAGCTTCTTTTCAGATGAAAGTAAGGTTTGTATTTCATATGAAACTGAAGCTCCCAGAGTCTGAAAGAAGAGTGGAAAGCAAAGAATCCATGTACTTTTAAATTCAGTGACTGAGTTGTACTTTATTTTCCATTCAATCAGGAAACAATCATTTCACTCTGGCGCTTCTTCCGACACCCAATCAAAACAATATTCATGTTATAGAAACTGAGGGCTAGGGAAAATGTTCAAAGTTTCAACCCTTTGAAAACCTCAGATCACCCCCACACAACTTAAAAGAACTAAAATTAAATTTTGAACATCAAAAAGTTTTTAAAATTAGTATACATTGGAGCAACTCACCAACTTTACATATTTGATGTAGTAACTGCTAGAGGCGTTTCCACTAGCCTGACAGGTAAGTGTTCATGGCTTGCATTCCCTTCAGGGGACGTTTGTCGAACAGAGGTATTAAAAGGTCAGCTGAAAATTCTGATTTTAGATTTTCCTTTTGGGAAAAGATCTGTGCAGTTCAGGTGGCTGGTTAAAGAAATCTCTGACATTTATCAAAAACCCTGATGAATTCAAACAGGCTGAAAGGGAGGTGCCCTGGGCACCCTTGTTTGAGTTGACGGAAACGGATACAAATCAATGATGTTGTAAATCAGATCATTAGCTCTCTTTTTTCTCCCTGAGTGAAAGCCAAACTCAGCAGAAGGCTAATATCAGCTAATTTACATGCTCTGTCAAAACATGACTAATGTGTTACTGCAGGCATCACTGAAAAGTCTTACTTTGTTGCTAGCCAGTCATTTCATAGCACACTTGATTTCATTTCCTTTTAAAATTAGGATCTTTATGGGGTGGATGTAAATCTGGTCACCTTTTCTTGCTCAGTTGAGGTGACTTCTATCATCAGTATAAGAACTGTAGCTTTTCTAATTATCAGAAACTATGCTTTTAATATTCTTTTAAATCTTACACGTAAAACATGAATTAATATTCTTTAGAGTCACTATTTGAAAGATTTTTGTACTCTGTTCACAAAATCTGATATGAGATGGAATGAATAGAACTCCACCTTGTTATAAGCTTATTAAAAGATCATACCCATAGGCCATTACACGTTTCCAGCCAAATAAAATCCTAAAGTCGGGCAGAAAGTTTGAGTTTTTACTGCCCATTGTGGTTTTGTATTAAATTAAAGAGTGCCCTTTATCTTTCTACAAACTCCCTACAGTACGACATAAAAAATTTAATCTCGCTTCAGTCTGACCTCTGTGTTGTGATCCAGATGAAGGTAAAGGCTCAGATGGTATTTCACTGTGATGTATTCGTGGAGTAAAGGGAATGATAGGAGAAAAGTGTCTTTTTTCATTTAAAAAAAAATGTTCATTTCCCTTTTCTAACCTTGTTAAAATCCGAGACGTGATTTTTTTTACTTTGTTTTAAAGGATAAATAGGACTCATTGTTTCTGTTCCATTTTCTTTTCACACACAGAGGAGGCAGAGCCTGAGGAAAGTGAAGAACCATTTGTTGCCCCCCCAGGACTTGCTATCCCACCAGATGTAGAGCTGGTGAGTGCAAAAATATTGGCTGGCCCGTGGCTGTTGACAACCTATTGTGGTCCTATATAGTATTTATGAAGGCTCCATGTTTCTTTTGTATGGGTTGCTATAGGTAATAAAAGTTGTTCTTTGTCAGCTTTGCAATCGTGGTTACATGTTTAGTAAGAGTATAGGCAGTTAAACTTTTTTTTGTATATCTTTAATTTATGAGAAAAATGAATATTTCCAGTTAAAAGGAATTTAATTAGCTTAATGCAGCTTGGGATTGTTTAATTAGAGAGACATTTGTCTGTGCATCAAGCTGGGAAATTGTACGAGCTGTCAGCAGGAAGGCCTTTTGTTAAAGCTAAGCATGCTAGAAAAGTCTAGACCAATGGTGTTTTCCTTTCTTTCTGTGAGTCAGGCTAGGTGCATTCAGAAAATCCACTTTACCCGAACATTTATACACAGTTTGGAGACTTTTGGAGTATAAACACTATCAAACAGTCTGAGATCTATGCTGCAAGAATTTAATTTCACTTTTTTTTTATTCAGTTATAGCCTCTGCTATTGTCCTGCCACTCTGCCCAGAGGAGGACCTGCTTAGCATTAGAGGAATGTATTCCACAGTAGCAGCCTGGGTTTTAAGACCCCCACAGGAACGCATACAAAAAGCAGCCTGTTATATTTAAGGTCCTGGGGAAAACGTTCAGGAAGTAATAATGAGCTTTTAGTGATTTAGCTACAAGATTTGATGCAAAGACATACCTGGACTTTCTCCATGTTGTTTTGTCTTTTAATACGGATAAATGCCCCTCATTAATGAAGATTGGATGGGCCATACTGAAGTGTGTTGTTGCAGAGTAAACTGCTAGACTTAAGTTAAGTTTGGTCTCTACATCAGGAGTTAAATAAACAGAGGGCGTAGATCGATGATAAGTGGCAGAAAATAGAAAATAAAGTGTATTTTAATGCTCAGCCCCCTCAAATGTGTTTAACCTGACTAAAGGGGAAAGCTAGAATCCATATTTTTAAACTAGTAGTTCCACCTCATGCCTCTGGTTCCATGGATCAAGCTCATTTTATGAAAGCTTGCGTATGTAAGCCACAAATGCTCCTCAGCTGGTGATTTATGAACAGCCAGAGGTTTTCTAAGGAGGTGTTCATCTTTGTGGCTGTGGGACAGAACCATTTTGTAAAGGAGATCATAAACATGATGAACATTGTTATGAGCTGGTAACATTAGCCACATTTCTAGCCGTCAGTGAAGAAATATGAGGGACTTGAATCCATCATTTATAATCTGGAGTCCAACACCGTTTTACCAAAAAGAAAAGTCAAACTGTGTGTTGTGCCATGGATTTTATTCACTTCTAATAACCATTCACTGTGTTATACCCACGCATTTATTTACATCAGAAGTTTATATTAGAGATGTGGTGATGTCAGGGTGTGTGTAACCAAGTTTTGACATTAGTTTTTCCTATAGATTTGCATAAAAGAAAATAAAACGATTTTGGATATTTACACTTTTTCTTTAAGTCTCATTGAAATAACAAAGATTGCTATAAACCAACATTTTAATGCTTGTTCTGCCTTTAGTGGTCAATAATCTTTCATATTTGGGGCAGAGGCAAAGTCGCACCTTGTGTGTCAGAGAAAAGTCACTAAAACATGTTTTTTTTCTCTGTTATTTTCAAATAAAACATAGTTACTAAGGACATGACATTTGTAACAGGGTGCAGGACCTTTTATTATTATTAGCTTTGCTACCATTTCTAAAATAGTTGTTTCTATGTATTCCCTAGAAAACATAAATCCTTACAACCAGCAGGAAACCTCATTGATTCTGGGGTTTACTGCTGGCTGTCAAGATTTTCAAATCCAGGATTTTCCAGAGCAGAATGTGGTTAAGAGCTCAAGCAAAAGAAGAAAAAAGGAGCAACTTTACTGTAATACAGTCCGCCTTTTGAAAATCTATGTTGTTTTTTAAAATAGCATATTGTCAATGTTGTTCAATCAGCAATTTAATCCGCAGCAAGTGGGTTGTTGTCAACAAGAACTGGGAACACCAATTACTGTGTGATCACTGATGGGGAAGTCATTTGGTTTTAGACTTACCCATCATAAGTTGAAGTCATCTCTTATTTATTCATTACATTTATGGACCGAATTTTGCTAAATTAATTGTGAGATTCAATTCAGTTTGCTTAAATAGCGCCAATTCACAACACGTGTCATCTCAAGGCATTTTACAACTCAACAGGATCATACAGTCAAATCGATTTAAAGTTTTATATCTAAGGAAAACCATTTGATAGCATCAGTTAATTGACTGGAAGGCAATCCTTCCCAGTAAGAGACGGCAAAGAATGCATTTAAACTGACAGTAAAGATAAGAGACAAAGTTAGTTCCCAGACATCTAGTATTTGTTAGTTTTGTACAAACTGTACACAAACTTTAGTAATTACATCTATTACAAATTTGGAGCCTAAATGTTGCTTTTTCTTTTTGCTTTCACCACTGAGGTAAATTTTTTTTTGTATTCAAATTAATTTGGATAAAAGTCATATCAATGGCTTTATCATTATTGATTAACTTATAACAGGAAAATAATTGTCTGTTTTTATGCTAAGTGGAAAGGTTACTCTCATAATTCAGTATTTTACTTTAATTGCACCTCACCACACTGATGTTTTTATTTCAGTGTTGGCTGCCCACAGCAGAACATGGCTTCATGCCCAAATAACATGTAAAGGGAAGTAGTACTACACAAGTGTTAAATATTTAAATGGATGTTTCTCTGTTGTATCTACAGATGAAACACAGTGACTCCTACTTTCTTATGCTTGATAGGAACGAACAAAACAGCAAATGTTTGTCATGGGGTATGTTCATACCAAAGAGCCAAACTTTATGCAGCAACATACAAAAAATTTCAGGGCAAAAGGCTATCAATGGAAGTAAATCACTAAAAGTAATCTTTCCAGTGTCTTTACTGATGCTCATTTCTAGTGTGCAATATTTTCTATCGTTGCATGCAGCTACAGCTCAAACTGTACGACGAAACCGCAGAGTTTAAAAGTTCACAGCTCACGATGCATGTTCTCACACTGTGCGGCCTGATGCGATTTTACAAAGGCCGACTGAATTTCAAACATTTTTGATTTTCTCCCAACCTTATGATATCTGATCGGTAGGTGGTCATGAGAGGCTGATCGCCCCTCGTTACCCCTGAACAATACACGACGCGCAACTCACGATCAGGCTGAAAGTCGGCCCAAATGAAAAATTGTACAGTGTATGCTGTAACTTTAAGCGATATTTACCTTAAACAAGTGAGTTTTAGTACCTTAATTGGAAAATGTATATAACACTAGATCTAAATGCCCAACTAACTGATGTTCTGATTTATGAGATAATATTATCTTAAATAAGGTTTTTAGGTTCATTTTTTTTTAAAGCTAAGCAAATTGGCATTAGCCATTTCTGTTATTGTGAAGGACCAAGTATTTTCAGCTATAAAGATCTAATTTTATTTAGATCAGGTGAGTGGCAGCAGGAAAGGGGAGGGATGGGCTGATTGCATCTGTTTATGCAGCACATTTTCAGGGAAAAGTGTGACAATTTAGGTGAATATGAATGGGTCAGTTTTTATTGATTTAGCACAAACTTCATCTTTATATTCTCAAAATACCCTGATTACCCTAAAAAAATGATTATTCATAATTTATCTTTTTATTATCGATTATCAGTTACTTTGAAAACCCTGCTATGCAGTGTAGCCCTGACAAATTTTTAATAATGATGATCGTAATGTTTGGTAAATTGTTAAAGAACAAACTGAATATGATTATACTTTTACTTTTTTTCTACTGTTTGCTGCAAGAAAGAAGTAGCAAATATTATTAAAGCTCCTTTTTTTTTTTTTTTTTTTGCAGCTTTAAATATGACTTGCAATGAAAGCTTTAGAAAAAATCACAGAAACGAGACTGCAACAGATTTTAAAATATTTAATATCAACTATTCAACTGCAGGGTATTATTTTATTGGATATAACATATAAACAGCAGGACTTTCTACACCCTTTCCGTGTATATATGTTGCATCCGAATCAGGTTCAGCAGATTCCATAACAGTTTCTTCCCCACTGCCATTAGACTTCAGAATTTTGCATAAAGTGGGTTATTTTATTTATATATAAAATAGAAGTAATGTTAGAACAGTAAATATATAGTCATATATTAATATGACTTTTTTTTATGTATTTAATTCATGTTTTTCCAGGCTGCACTTCAAAAAATGGAATTGTCTAGATCTGTTTTAAATGAAATTTCTTTTTGTGTACATTTGTGTATACAAAATGACAAAATAAATCTGTCTAAGTCTAAATGTAATTGCACAGTTTTATAAAAATAGGAAGGGTTCCCATTTATTTTTGGGGGACACTGGCACCTTTAACTAAAAGGAATAGTACACCCAAAACATGATTAGCCTTCATTTTCTACTCACCCCCATGCTGAACAACACTCTGGGGTACTTTTTTGATATCTCAAATGCATCTGGAGATCTGGGAGGCTTCTTGCTGTCTGCTGACATTCAAATAATGGAGGTCTATGGTGCCCGAGGCAGAAAGGTCCATAAAAGTCCACAAAAAACGTGTCAATTCTGGGTTTCTAATCTAAAGTATGTCAG